GAAGACCCAATACTATTATGGGATACTGGACTTTTTTGGAATATTTTGCTGAGTTTACACACCTATAATATTCAAATAACGGAACTTAATAAAAAAGGGGATACAGATGAATGTCCATTTTGTATCTGTGTATTCAAAGTGGTTAGGATAGATATATAGTTACATTCTGTTAATGAATAGAGTGATTTGTTCTAATGGTGTTTGTAAATAGGATATCAAGTCCGCATCTTGTACAGCAATTAACCACTAAGAAGAACACATGCAGTGTGTTGATTATTGAAACTGTCCTACTGATTTGATTTGAAACTGTCTCATTGCTATTTGTTTATCAATAAAACTATGGCAAAAAATAAAAAAATAAAAAAATAAAATCTGTTTTGTTGTTGTTGTTGCTGTTACATAGACTTCTTATAAGTGAGTTAGAAATTCCAAGGAGATGTTGCACACCTGCCTTAGCATCATTGTCAAGAATGTACCTTTTGTTCTCTTTTTAGGACTGGAAATGAAGGCCTTTACACTGAGCTAATCCATAGCCTCCTCTTCATCTTTTTATTGCTTTTATTTTGAGACAGATTCTTGCTGTCACTGAGTCACCCGAGCTGGGCCCACACTGCCGGTCCTCCTGTCTCTGCCTTCTGGAGTCCAGGGACTCCAGTCATGTACCACTATGCCTGGAGAGAATGTTCCTATTGGACATTAATAATGTGCTTATGAACATTGATAATAGTTCAATAATTGATAAACTGTTCCTAATGCCTCACTACTTACTGTACAGGAATGAGACTTGCATTCCAGATAGGGGAACAACAGAAAGGTGTTGTTGCAAAGGAAACAACTTGAAATGGAAAGTCAGATGTTGTCTCACCGTTTGTTCACAATTCCTCAGCCCTAGTCTCTTAGAACCAAGAATTTCTGCACTCTCTAACTTCTTCTTCGACAATCTGTTGAAGGAGCCCCCTATAGCAATTGTGGTGTCAGTCTCCTGATTCTCTGGCACCAGAGGTGACTTGGTTATCTCGGTTATATCATCACATGGAGAAATTTAACATCTTTTATGTTTAACCTGGAAAGTCCCTTATGTGTCTTTCTTCCTGTTCTTCCAGAGCAATCTGCCCACGCTGTAGTGAACTTGTAACACAGTACCTTTCCTTCCCTGTAATAGCTTGGATGGAGCTATTCTTTCGGCCTAGGGCATCCATAACCCGAAGCGCCCCCACACATGCCCTGCTACACTAGGCAATGGCTTATCTTTATTTCAGTAGAACTACTAAGCTGGCAAATTTGGCTTATGGTGCTGATCACTTTTGTTTAAAAACATTCTCTCCTCTCCGTTTCATCTTAAATGTTGCTTCCTTTCCTTCTCCTCTCCTGATTTCTTCAAGGAAGCTCATGATTGCTTACAGAGGAGGGAGAACAAGGAGCCCTGCAGTGGTGTTACCTCTCTCAGAAGTCTTATATTTCAATACACAAAGAATTGTGTGTGTGTGTGTGTGTGTGTATGTGTGTGTATTTTTTGCTTAGCCTCATGATGATCTTTCTGTTTTCAGCCTCCCCAGCACTAGGATTACAGGCATGCACCACCAGTTGGGGCCGGCACAGACTGTGTTGCCCGTAATCAAACCCCAGTCCCTGCGCTTGCCTAAGCAGGTGCTTAGTCCACTGAGTTATCTTTCCTGCCCTACAATGTACAAAGAATCTTAAAGCAGACTATTTATGGTGATGGGGAGTTCATGTATCCAGAAACCAGAATAAAATATTGCCTTTGGGGGAAAGGAGCCTTCCAAATACATAAAACCATATAGCATAGCATGACTTCCTATGGCATGTTTCTACGTGTGACCATCTTCATAGATTAGCTTACTGTAACAAAGGAATTAAAATGCATGAGATCCAAGTAGTCATTTCTTCCTCTTCTAAGCCAGAGTATTAGTTTAATATCTCAAATTCGTACTTCTTTCATTGCCTCCCAAAGTGATCACAGACCCGACTTCCCAGTAGATGCTCAATGGATATTCCATGTTCAGGTGCATTAAAATTTTAGTTGATTTTTGAATGTCAAAATTGCATATCTCTGTCTTAAGATAATTAATTATACTGTTAATTAAACTGTTAACTTGTTAATTAAGGTATATACTTTTATTTTATAATGCTGTCAAGTAAATATGCATTATATTACAGTGGTGAAGGTTGTGAATAAGAATCAAATCCTTTTGATCTGCAGCCCAGCTCAGATACTAACCAGGTAGTCCAGGTTGATTAGTGTCTCTGTCTTAGTTTCACCATATGTAAAGTGGAGATAATAATGTATCTCCTCATGGGCTTGTTGTAGGAATGCAATGAGACAACTCTTCTTTAAAGCTTAAGATTATGGGCAGCAAAAATTCAATTGGAATTCCAGATGTCTGCTTGTATTGAGATGCATGTGTGATATGCGTAGATAGCAGAAGACTGTCAAGTGGAACTGAGAAACTACAACAGAAACTAGGAAGCCAGTGAAGCAGCTGTAGAACTTCCAGACTCTTAGGAACTATAAAAACGTAAAGGAGTATCTCTTTAATAAAATATTTATCTGAAAAGAGAAGAAGGCCATAGCTATTCTAAGTACCTAAAATTCACCTTGAGGTGGGAGGGTAGGTTTGTGCTGTGGCCCTGTGTCACTTAACCCCTAGTTTTTTAACATTCAAGTGAGTGAGGACTTCAGTGGGGGCCACTTTGAAACCTGCAGGTAGTGTTTTTGGGACTGGAGAGGGTTGGAAAGCTTGAGTCTTTGGCCAACATAACTGAATAAATAAGGATCAGCTCAGGTATGGGTAGCAGAGCCAAGAGTGTGCTTCAGTCTTAGGGAAGCTTGCAAAATCCTGTGCTTTTGAGGGCAAAGGATGAGTAGGTGTTCCTGTGACCCAGATGCTGAGTACTCAGGAAAGAGAAAGTTACCTGGTATTAGTACTGTTAGGTAGAGTTGCCCCAGAACCGCGGTTCCCCCAGCAACTAGAGTTGGAGTGGACCATCACCTTGTGAGAGGAATCACACGCTACCACCCAACACAGGGATGCATCAGTTGCTGCAGAAAAAGGGGCACCCAGCCTCTTCAATAGGAAAAGTCAAGAAAATGTTCCATAGAGAATTGACCACTTTGTCAGTGTTTGTTAGGCACAGAGAGATATTCCAGGAAGCCCTTTCCCATGCCTCATCTTTGTCTCCTTCTCCACCATTGTTCTGGCCACAAAGGGTCAGAAATGGCAAGCAGGTTGTTTGTTTGTACTAGTTAAGGGTAGTAAAGAAAGAGAATCTAATATAAGAGGTGTATATATCTGCATATGTGCATATTTAGAGAGGCAGGAGACAGACACACAGCAGACATACCGCTAGAGATGGTGATTTATATGAAAGACTTGGCACATGTGATTACAGGGGTTGGCAAGTCCAAAATCTGCAGGGTAGTCTGGCAGGCTGGAGACACAGGGGAGTCTTGGAATTTGAGCCCTCTGAAAGAGTCTGCTGGCCAAATTCCTTCCAGAAAGAATGTGTGTATGTGTGGTGGGGAGGTGGGGGTGGGGAGTAGCGAGTATTTGTTCTCTTATGGCTTTCAACAGATTGGATAAGGCTCACCATGCTACAGGGAGAAAAATGCCTTCAGGTCATCAAGGTCATAGTGACTTAAATGTTGAAGGATATCTTCACAGAAACATCAATTATTGTGCTTGGCTAAATATCTGGGCCACCAAGCTGACATGTACATTTAGCCATCATAGTTGAGGGGCAAGGAAGAGTATAAGATCAAGGCAAGAGTAAAACCAGACATTCCAGTTTCCTGCTTTGGGTCTGCCGACTAGGCAAGGAGGGCAGAAGCTCTGCTGTTAGAGCACATCAGGAGTCTGATTTATTATGTTATGGCTATTCTAATCTTTCACACAAAGTTATCTGTATAACTTAAAACACCAGGAGAAAAAGAGGTGATGCCACCTGATAGAAAGATAATACTAATGCTTTGAAAAAGATAATGAAATCTCAAAAAGAACAGATAAGTAAGTCTCGTGGTGACTACCCAAATATGCAGGCAAAGTTTACTAATTACAAGTGCCCCGCAGGGAGTGGGGGTATAGCTCAGTGGTATACAACTCAGTGGTACAATGCCTGCCTGGCAAACACGAGGTCATGAATTTGTTTCTTAAAACTCCCCCCAAAAATGCCTGGCACTCAGTAAATATTCATTAAATACTCACTAAAACATATATACATATATATATATATATGATATTTGCTATAGCATATGATAACTATGTATAAATAGAACATAAATTCTGCTCCATTTTCAGGTATATGCTTTTTTGAAGTGCTTCGTAGATGAGAAAATTCAACTTTTTAATGTATTTACTTCTATAAAATTAAAAGATAATGGTTGCATTTCATATTTTAATGTTTCACATAATCATATTCTCTTTACTCTGTGATGGACTATCTATTTTTTAAAACTTAAATAGACATATGCTACAGCAAGTGTGCTTCCCTTTATGGTTCTTGTCTGTAGCCTGAGGCACCATTGACACCTAGGTAAACAAATAATTAGCTTGCTCAGTTGAAGTAGAAAATTGTACTTAATGAACTCGGCCACTGTTCTATATTCTCCCTTTCTCTCACTTCTCTCTTCACTAGATACCTGCCTCCTCTGCTGCTTGCAGCCTAAAAACTAAAGTTGCAGATGGTACTCAAAGTCAGGTGATCAGTCTGACAGGTAAATTAACCTGACCCAATTGCGGTGTTCAAAGGATGTTATTACTCTGCCTGTGTGGTCTCCAGGAAATCCCTCTAATTTTGGAGATAAAAATCAATAGAATAAACTTGGTGTCTGGAAACAAGGAAGTGAAAGTCCTTTGTTATGAGAGCCAGCTCTAGGAGTTTATATTTGTAATGCCAGGGAAAAATTACTGGAATTCCAGGAAGTAAATTCCAGTCTATCATTTCCAATGTAACCCATGTTGAGAATAAAGAGACAAACATACCTGTAGTTGTGGTGAGTCAAGAGGGTCCTAAGTCCAGCTGCAACAATGGCTAACTGGAACAAAGGCCACAACCCAGGGCCAAAACAGGGTTTTATTAATTCATGAAGAGGGGAGTGGCTTGGGGTTGAGTGGCTATAAGAAGGGAGGAAGTAGGTGAGAAATGTGAGCTGGGCTAGGTAGGAGGCACATAGCACCTCTGCAGTATGCAGAGAGGTTTGCAGAAAGGATACTGGATTCCAGTAACAAGAAGCCTCTAAGTTTGAAGGAATATGCGTACCATATCTTAAGGAAGTATCTTGTGGGCTTTTTTGGTGTTAGCCTCAGCTTTGATGTCTTGCTGTCTGATCTGAGATGTTACAGGCTCTTTCTTGAGCATCGGTCTCAACCAACAGCAAGGTATCTCTTCGCCTATCTCACTTAGTCATTGGAAGTGATAGGCCTGGCATCACTGGCTTGTGCTGTTGCTTCAAAGGCTGTACCTCAGAACCTCCAGTAGAACCCATTTGCATTGTTTAAAGCCAATTAAGAGGATATAGTATTATGTGAGTCAGCTGTGTATGGATCAGTGCATGGGATTAGGGCAAGGTGCAGCCAACAGGGAAACCAAGGGTCTCTTTTCAAGGAGAACCATCCTGGTGGTCGTTACACAGTGTGTTAAGACAGAAATTGGTTTAAAACACAAACAAATCCTTCTGGGTGTAGCATTGGTAATTTTAATTTACCCATGAGATTCTTATAATCTTTATTCCTCTTGCTTTTTGTCTATTATGCAATAAATAATAATAAATGTAACAGCAATTCAAAGAACTTATCACTAGTAGTACAACACTTACCCCAAAATTAAAATACAAATCTTTATCATACTTTTTTATAATTTCTGTTACGCACTCATCTTCAATGTAAATTGTTGTTACGTCAAAATGACATGTACATTTGAGCTTATGGGACTTGCAACTCAAAATAAATTATTATAGTGGGCCACCATTCAAAACTGAGGTAGACAGGGTGAGACATTGTGCTAAGTCTTACTTTCCTGCACAATAAAGGGAAGGAAAGTCCTTCGGCAACATACTGTATGTTAAATAACTGGGGGTTCCAGTTTAAACAAGATTTATGCTGGAAGATGAAGCAACTTCAAGAGCTCTGTTCTCATCTGTCAGACCATTCTGAAAGCAAGATGCCACTGATGCTGGAAAGTGGGCTAGAAAGAATGTAAGTCTCGCCACTGACTTCACAGTGCTGCGTAAATCACTAGGCTTGCTAACCCCAAGACAAAGTGAACACCAGCGTCCACAAGGATGAGGGCAATTGCTCCGCTAAGTGTTGAGTCTCGGAAATTGAAGTGGTGACACTGTGCTCATATTAAGCAGCAGGAAGATGATTCTCAGATTTCCTATTGATTTAAGTGATGGATACTTTTTGACAACCTGTGGCTTTTTGTTAAAGCCCGGAAAAGCACTTTGTAATAAAAAATTACTGTTTCTTTCAACAGTTTTCTCCAGGTAATAAATCACAACCAATAGATATTTCTTGAATATCTATTAAGAAGTATAATGAATATTAATAAAATTGGGTGATACATCACTAAAAGGAGAAATGCAAAAAGGTAAGTACATTTATTTGAAAATATACAAAGAACAAATGCCTTTAGAGAAAAAAGTCAGACGTGGAGGGAATCTTTGTTTAGTCACATTTCCACCTTGGTGTTCAGTGTGATTACATTGTATTGCGAATTCTCACTGCCAGTCTTATCTATATTTCAGGTCCTGAGATCCTTGTTATCTCAGTCTAGGACACTTTCCTCTCCCCTCTCTGGAGGATGGGCTCCTCAACTCTTTGAAAGTCAAAAGTAGGTTTTATAGATGATTCAAGAGCTGGAAGTGTGGGAAGGTGGTGAAACTGGTGAAGCTCTCCTTCCAGCTGGCCAGGACTCTCAGTAGGCCACTAGGAAAGTCACCAGGCCCAGCACCACAATGAGAGGTCCTCTGTAGGTAAAGGACTTGCTTCCCTGTGTGTGTACTGTGCTTGTCCTCCCAAAAGAGAGAACCAAAATAAGTGCAACTCTCACCGGAGGACAAGCAGCAGCGATGGGTGACACACAGAGGTCTTCCTGGCTTTGGGAATGAGCAGAGAAATCACACAGCAGCATTTCTCGGCACAGTAATCTGATAACGATGCTGCAGGGCACCTCTGCTTTCTGTCTCCACTGCCTGTCACATCCTTGTGGTAAATGCTGGTTAGATTTAAAGTGATTTTTTATGAAACCAATGATCTTATGGCTCTAAAATAGCAGCAGAGTATTCATAATTTATAATAAGTGATCTATGTGAGGCCCTACTCATTTTAATTGGGTTCTCTATTAAGACAAAGGATGTTGAGCTGGCACTGAGGTTTTGCAGGCTTGTTTTAGCGCATGGAACTAAGAGAAATCTCTGTGAACACCTTCCTTACAAAGATAATAAATAAATGTGGAATGAGAGTTTGGGGCCAAATTGGAGTTGGTATCATTTAATTTCTTCTTGTATTTCCAGTCAATTAAATGAATGGGTGCCTATGGTAATTAAACTGAGTTTGATAATGAGGCACTAAGGCTTCTTAAATTACTGCATGCTAATGAATATTTTCCCTGTATTGGTCCCTGCATCCTAGTGGCTGCCAAATGGAATCATTCCCCCTTTATCAATAAAATATAAAGGTCTTTATAAACTTCACATAGACACTACAAACTAAAATCAGGTCTTGATTCAGTTGCCATTTTTTTTCAAGATTCAAAATGAATCTTTTTTTTATGAGCAGAATATATTTATTGAGAGAAAGAAAGCTCCTGTCCAAGAGAAGGACAGGAGGGGGGTCCGAGTAGGTAGTTCCCCCCTCAAAATGAATCTTATTGTAAAGAAAATACAGTTGAACTTGCTCTTGGAATTTTGAAAGCCACAAATAGCAGAGTGCAAATTAAAGCCATACGCGGGAGGTGAACTGCTGCTTCTGCAGCTGCCTGCAAATAATGTACTCATGAATGCTTGCTGTATATGCTAAGAACTTGAGCGCAGGGCAGGTAAAGGGCCCAGACCATCTGTGAGGCTTATTCCCCATGCAAAAATGCGTAATGGTCCTGCTTTTGTTATTCCATCAGGAGATGAGCCATAGTGAACACTCTTAGCTGAAATTTGTGCTTTTGATTTTTCTTGGGATTGTTTCACAACCCTTTATAATTTCATCCACAGGCTTACAATGCAGATGAATAAACCAAAGCACACATAGAGCTATGTCTTAAATACAAATATTTGAAATGTACAAATATTGTAAATATTTATATATTTATTTCAAACTTTTAAGAAAAGGCTTTTAATAATCTTCCTTGGCAGGGGAAGGAGAGGTCACAATGAGTAAATAGGTTTTCTTAAAAATACTGCTATAATACAAGTGCTCCTGTCTTCTCAAAATTCTTTTTTTTAAATTAATTTTATTGAGAAACAAATATCAATGAGACAGTTTTAAAACTGATTAGTAGGACAGTTTCAATAATTAATACATTGCATATTGTTGTCTTTGTAGTGGTTATTCACAGTATAAGATGCAGACATGATATCCTGTCCAAATACTATTAGTACAAATCTTTCTTCTCACTGAATTAAGAGAAAGTAGTTGTATATCTATCCTAATCATTTTGTTTATATAGATAAAAAATGGCTCTTCATTTGTATCCCCTTTTTTGTTTAGTTTTGTCAGATATGGGTATTCCATTCCTATTTAAATATTGTAGGTGAGTGAATTCAGCAAAATAATCCAATATAGTCCAACAGTCCATCATAGTAATGGGTTATCCAGAGGACTGGCAATGTCAGAAGTTGTTGACTTGAGCCTTTTATAACTCAGTATATTAATGTGGCTTTACTTTTTATACCTTGTTTTTATACTTTTCTGCTGGATGGTTAAGACCAAGATAAAGCAAGACCTTTATAACAAGAAATGTAACTTCTGTATCTGACAAGGTCATTCAGATTCCCTCAAAAGAAGAAATAAACATAGAAAGATATAACACAATTAAAAGGAAAGTGAGAACTTAAGGACTAAACAACAAAGAGAGGGCAAGGTGGAAAGCTAGAAAACATGACAGGGTCAAAACCATACATTTATATGTACAAGATTGTTAAGACAATGATCCTGAGAATCTTCAGCAGGTTTTTGAAACTAGCAGTTAATTGGTAGGATTCTCACCCTGAATAATTATATATGCTGATACCTGTGAACTAAGCAACTGCACTGAAGATAGCAATGTGTAATACTAGGATCATGCTTGGACTACCTGTCATTCTGGTCTTCTAAATACATACTTCTTGTCATGTCATATCAATTACTGCTATACTGTCTCTCAAAATTCTTATATTGAAAGCTTAATCTACAAAGGTAAGGTCTTTGAAGGGTGATTAGATAATAAGGGTAGAACCCTTATGAATGAAATTAGCCCACTTATAATAAAAAGTGTCAAAGACCTGATAGCACTTCTGTATTGGACTACCTAGCCTCCAGAACTGTGAGAAGTGGGTTGCTATTGTTTTAAGTCCCCCTATTCATGTTAGTATTTTGTTATAGTAAACTGAATGAATCAAGAAAATAGTATATGTCACAGGTACTTGCTGGTTCTCTACATACCATGATTGTACCACTAAAGAAGCCTGAGTGGGACAGCCTGTGTTTCTACTGGACAAAACCATGCAAAGCACTAGAACTAAACCACGGTGTCCTATGTGTGCCAATGCATTATGTGCATTAGCACACTCACATTTAGCCTCTGAGGTCAGGCAGAGCTCTACCAAGCCAACACTATTTTAAGCCTCAATTTATCCCATGCATAAAATGTAGATACTAATCCTGCCTAGCATGGAAAATTAAACTTTATATCATAAAAAAGAACACAATATAGCTCCTGTTATGATACCTTCTCTTTATATTTTTTACGTCCCTCATTAGAAAAGTATGAAATATTCATCTTGGATATGTGCTCAAATTTGTTATTACATTAATGAGTTGTATTATCTGATACAAATAAAA